ATTCAGTTTCCTATTCAAGATTTATGTTAATGTAATAATCATATTAGGGTCATCAGGCAGGTGAGTGGTTCATGGATGGAGACTGCAGATTTCTTTCCCTAAAAATCTTTAAGACTGAAATCATTTCAACCAGCATTTATTACATACCTTCCATGGTCTAGGAGATACAACAGACAAGAAGCCAGAATACCTCTCCTTATGTAACACTCCTCCCCTCTAGAAGGGTTTGGGAGGTTCACTGAAAGACATTCCCTAAGGCTGCATGCTCCTGGAAAGATCCAGGAGCCAGAATTCCTGATTGACGGAGTAACTTCTAAGCCCACTGAGTACATGGGGAGAGCTGATATCAGAAGGAAGGAGCAAGCTTGATATGGCCAGCTACTGCCATATGAGTATGCATACTAAGTCCCAGCTCAGTAGCCATTTAAAATGCTTTTCTTCCCCACACAGTAAGTAGACAGGTAAGAATCATAGTCCCTCCATTCATTCAACTTCCATGTCAGTCCAATGCATGCTCCCAGGAATGGGTGTTCATTCAAGAGATAAGACATGTGTACTAATAACTATTACATAAAATAGAACATGTTAAGTATTCAGGAGAACTGCAAACCAAGTCCTGTGATAGGAAGAAGAGGTTATTTCTATCTAGAGCCATTAAAAAAAACTTCACAGAGATGGTACCCACAGTAGGCTTTGAAAATGAGGTGGGATTTTAAGAGTCTGAGATAGTGAAGAAAATTGGGCATGCACCTTGAGGTGGTGAAGGAAGGAAGAGCATTTTTCTACTAAAAATTATTTAACTTTTGTAAAATTTTGATTTCCAAATTCTCTCCCTCCTTCCAGCCCCTTCTTTACCCATTGACAAGGCAAGCAATATATCAACTATATATGTGAAAACATGCAAAACATATTTTCACATTATCAAGGTTGCAAAAAAGCAAGAAAAATAAAATGAAAAAACTACAAAACTATATTTCAATTTGCACTCTGAGTTCATTAGTTCTCTCTCTAGAGGTAGATAACATTTCTTAACATGAGTCTTTTGGAATTGTCTTGGATTATTGTCTTCATCAGAGTAACTAAGTCTTTCACAGCTGATCATTGTTACAATGTTGCTGTTACTGTGAACAATGATCTGGTTCTGCTCACTTCACTCTGCATCAATTAATATAGGTCTTCCCAGGTTTTTCCTGAAACCATCCTGGTAGGCATTTCTTAGCACACAATAGTATTCCATCAAAAGCATATACCCCAACTTATTCAGCCACTCCCCAACTGATGAGCATCTCTTCAAATTCCAATTCTTTGCCACCACAAAAAAGAGCTCCTATAAATATTTTTGTACAAATAGATACTTTTCCTTCTTCTTTGATCGCTTTGGGATATAGACCTAATGGTGGTATTGCTGGGTCAAAGGGTATGCACAGTTTTCTAGCCCTCTGGACATGGTTCCAAATTGTTCTCCAGAATGGTTGGACTAGTTCACAACTCCATCAGTCAGTTTCCTTTTCTGTCATGTTAACTAATCTGATAAGTGAAGTGGTTCCTCATAGTTATTTTAATCTGCATTTCTCTAATCAAGTGATTTAGAGCATTTTTTCACATAACTATAGCTAACTTTGATTATTTCTGAAAGCTGTTCATACCCTTCGACTATTTGTCAATTGGGGAATGACTCTTTTATAAATTTGACTCCATTCCCTATAGAGTTGAGAAATGAGGCCTCCATCATGGAAATTTGCTGTTCTGTTTTCCTTCTAACCCTGGCAACATTGGTTGTTTCTGCAAAACCTTTTTAATTTCACGTGAGCAAAATTATCCATTCTTCCCCATGACCTTCTCTATCTCTAAGTTGGTCATAAACTCTTCCCTTATCCATAGATATGACAGGTAAAATTTCCCATGCTCCCCAATTTGCCCATGATATCGCCCTTTATGTATAAATGTGTACCCATTTTGACCTTATCTTAGTGTACAATGCGAAATGTTATACCTAGTTTCTACCAAATTGCTTTCCAGTTTTTCCAGCAATTTGTGTTAAATAGTGAGTTCTTGCCCACAAAGCTTGGATCTTTGGGTTTATCAAATACTAGATTACTATGGTCATTTCCTACTGTGTACTGCACACCTAATGTGTTGTACTGATCCACCACTCTATTTCTTAGTCGGTACCAAATTGTTTTGATGATTACCACTTTGTAATATAGTTTGAAATCTGGTACTGCTAGGCTGCCTTCCTTCACATTTCTTTTCATTGACTCCCTTGATCTTCTTGACCTTTTGTTCTTCCACATGAATTTCTTTTCTAGATCTACAAAATAATTCTTGTACTTTGGCATGGCACTGAATAAGTAAATTAATTTAGATAGTATTGTCATTTTTATTATATTGCCTCAGCTTACCCATGAGCAATTACTATTTTTCCAGTTGTTTAGATCTGTCTTTCTCTGTATGAAAAGTTTTTTTTATAATTGCGTTCATATAGTCCCTGAGTCTGTCTTGGCAGGTAGACAACCAAATATTTTATATTGTCTACGGTTATTTTAAATGGAATTTCTCTTTCTTTCTCTTCCTGATGGGTTTTGTTGTTGGAATATGGAAATGCTCATGATTTATGTGGGTTTATTTCATATCCTGCAACTTTTACTAAAGTTGTTAATTTTCTCAACTAGTTTTTTAGTTGATTGTCCAGGGCTCTCTAAGTAATCCATCATATCATCTATAGAGTGATAGTTTTGTTTCCTCACTGCCTATTCTTGAAATAAGCATTTATTAAATACCTACTATGTGCCAGGCACAGTGCTAAGATCTCTACAAATATTATCTCATTTGATCCTGCTATTATTACCCCCATTTTACAGTTGAGGAAATGGAGGCAAACAGTTTAAGTGACTTGCCCAGGGTCCCAGAGCTATTAAGTGTCTGAGGCAGGATTTGAACTCAGGTTCTTTGTGCCATCTACCTGCCTCAACCTAGATAGGATGGACTAATTCAAGCGTAGAAATCTTCTACAATTAGAACGTGGTGCTAAGGAGTCAAGCGTACTAGAGTTCCCTCTGATAGCCATTCCTAATAATCTGGGTTTCAGTCCTTGAGGTCAACTGAAATTCTAATCAATTCACTAAGATGTTAACCAGATGATGATAAGATCATTTTACAAGAACTCTTCTTAAACACATCTAGAAGTCAATACCTAGGTGTATCAGGAGAAGAGAAGGGAACAGGCATTTATTAAGTAGCTACTAAGTGCATGGACTATGCAAAGCACTTTACAGATACTCTCTCATTTGCTGCTGGTGGCCTTGGAGGCATCCAGCTTGAGTTTAAACACCACCTCTAACTCATTCAAAAACTGACTTCAGTAGCTCTGGTGTGGGAAGTTAAGGTTAGGGAAGAAGAAAGAGTCAAAACCCTGATTCAGTACTAGTGGTGGTTGGGGGTGTTCTAGGCAGCGACAGGAGCGGAATTATTAAAATGATTTATGTGCTGGATGACAAAGAGACTTAGTTGTTGTATTGACGGGACCCATCCCATCTAAGGAGACTGCCGAGGGTCACAGAAGGAAGATGTAACAGAGCCAATCTAGAACCTGTCTTTACTGTTGCCGCTACTAGGGCAACTTGCTCCCTTTTCAGTAATTGAGAGGCAGATTAAAAGGGCTTCCCTGCAGGCAACACAGATCTGATGGAAAGTTATTGGTTTTTCTAAGGACAGCCAGGAGATCTCAACACTCAAGCTGCTATCTTATGAAGCTTCTTATTTCTCATGGCTTTAAAGTTGTTGTTACTGTTTTTTAAATACCTTCTTCTAAATAATAGAGGACACTTTGTTCTGCTTCCTTCCAGAGGAGGGGTTCACAAGTGTGGAACATTACATATAACATTCTTTTCAATGCGTTGATTAGTTTTGCCATATTTGTTTTTTTTTCCTCTTTTTTTTTTTTAAAAAAAACAATGCTATAAAGATTGGCTCTCTGGGAGTGGACAAAGGAAGAAATATGTGGGAAACATATGTCAGTCAAGACACATTTCTTTTTTAAAAAAATATTTTATTTTTAGTTTTCAACATTCATTTCCATAAGATTTTGAGTTTTAAATTTTCTCCCCGTCCTTCTCCTCCCCCTTCCCCAAGACAGTATGCAATCTGATATAGGCTGTACTTGGACATTCATATTAAGCATATTTTCACATTAGTGATGATGTATAGAAGAATTAGAACTAATGGGAGGAACCACAAGAAAAAGAAATAAAACAAAACAACAAAAGAAAAGGCGAGCAAATAGTATGCTTTCATCTGCATTCAGACTCCATGGTTCTTCTTCTGGATGTGGATAGCATTTTCCATCATGAGTCTTTTGGAGTTGTCTTAGATTCCTGCATTGCTGAGAAGAACCAAGTCTATCAAAGTCAGTCATCCACAATGTGGCTGTTACCGTGTACAATGTTCTCCCGGTTCTGCTTATTTCACTCTGCATCAGTTCATGTAAGTCTTTCCAGGTTTTTCTGAAGTCCACCTACTCATCATTTCTTATAGCATAATAGTATTCCATTACATTCATATACCACAACTTGTTCAGCCATTCCCCAATTGATGGGCATCCCCTCAATTTTCAATTCTTTGCCAACATAAAAAGAGCTGCTATAAACATTTTTTGTACACGTGGGTCCTTTTCCCATTTTTATGATCTCTTTCGGATACAGACCTAGTAGCTGTTTTGCTGGGTCAAAGGGTATGCACAATTTCACAGTCTGTTGGGCATGGTTCCAAATGGGTATAGGATTTAGATATAAAGACTGATACTTTAATCAAACTAGAAGAGCAAGGAATAGTTTACCTTTCAGATCTATGGAGTAGGGAAGAATTTATGACCAAATAAGAGATAGAGAACAGTATGAAATGCAAAATGGATAACTTTGATTACATTAAATTGAAAAGTTTTTGCACAAAGCCAATGCATACAAGATTAGGAGAGAAGCAGAAAACTGGGAAATAATGTTTACAGTTAGTGTCTCTGATAAAGGCCTCATTTCTAAAATATATAGGGGACAGACAGTGAGAACGTTCAGGACTGGGAGAGGGGTGTCATGAGAAACAGCAAAACAAAAGATATTAACAAATTTTAAAAAAAATCCGCCTCTCCCAACAACCACTGTGCGGTCCCTTTTCCCTGTACTTACCAAGGATGGATATTGAATCTGAGGTCCTATTAGACCAAGAAAAATTCCCCCGGGTTCTGTCCTTTCTCATATTTTCAGAAAATAGCTTCCAAATCCAAGAGAATTTGGTATCTCACTAAATAAGGACATTACAAAAAATAATAACAGCTGACATTTATGTTTTATTTATGACATTTATGTTTTTAAAGTCTGCAAAGTACTTTCCATATGTAACCCATTTCTGTTGTTTATCTCACAAAATGAATAAATGAAGCATTTATTAAGTGCTTACTATGTGCAAAACAAAGTGCTGAGTTCTACAGACACAAACAGAAAAGTAAGACAGTCCCTGATCTCAAGGTTGCTCATATTTTAATGGAGAGACAATATACATAAAAGGTTTTCAGGTGCAAGTCAGATGAAAAAGTCCTATGATGCTTCTTCTTTAATGTTATTTCTACTAATAAAATCACACTAAGTTTCTGATGTTGAACCATTTGACAGTGCCAAGGACTTGGGTGGCCAGAACTTTCTTTTCAAGTCTTGGGTAGCTGTGGATGTAGCCCCTCCAGGAGCAGTCAGGCTGCATCACTGCAGGGGTTGCTTCCATGAATGATGGCTGAGGGAGCTGGGCTGGAAGCAACACTCTTCCCAAGGCTCTTGGGCTCAGGGTCCTAGTCTGCCTCCGTCAGGGTATGAAGGGAGCCAGTGGTCAAAGAGGTGCTGGTCGTCTGACTTGCCTGGCACATACTGTTTCCTGTCTCTCCCTTGGAGTAACCTCCTGCTTCAGGAGGGCGGGCTTGTCTGCCTGTGTGTGGTGGTTGGTAGAGATGGCTGACCCCCTCTCCACAGAAGTTGCTTCCTAGATCACAGTTGTAAGGGCTGTGCTGGAGGAGGACTGGTGGTCAGATGAGTGCATGCAGCCACCCCCAGGGCTTGTGTGCTATCTGCCTACTGATAGCATTTAGTCAGAAGTTATTGCTGATGGTGATAAGGAAGGTGAGCCCCATCTCCACAAGGATTTTTCCATTCAGTGATAGCTACAGGGACTGGACTGGACGCAGGTCTGGGAATTGGGGGGCACTGCTATTCCCAAGGCTCTTGGGCTCAGGTTCCTGGGCTGTCTCCATCAGAGTCTGAGGGTAAAGAGTGGTCCTGGTGTTGGTCTGACATTCCCTCGGGGTACCTTGCTGCTTTGGAGAGATAACAATAACTTACTGTAACTTTAAGAGCGCAAATAAGATGTAAGCTATATAGTATGTCACTTGAACCTCACACTAAAAGTATCAATTTATAACGAATGTGAAATCTAATGTCATATTGAGGGATTATTTTCATTTGTCAAGAGCTTTCAGAATTCTCTTAGAAAATACATGTTTTCTAACCCATTAACCAGGAATTAAGTATTTGTGAACCAGTGTGCCTATTTGCAAATAGGTGACTAGCCTTGCCCAAATACAGTCTAATTCCTACTGTGGTCTCACCTGGTGTATGCATGTATATGCATCTGTATGTGTCTTTTACCATGTTCCTGTTAATGTAAAATGGGAAAAGGGAGGAAAAGTTGGTGAGTGTTAACTTCCCTTAACATCTAGTGGCAAATACTACAAATATCTTATCTTTTAAATTCATTGATTTCAAGCAGGTCCCTCCTGGTCTCAGCATTCCAGGGGATTTAGGGCTAAGTATATTTGTAAACCATTGACTGTTGCTGTTTGAGAAAAATGCAATTTTTTAAGGGGGGAAAGGAAGAGAAAAGCTCATTAATGACTGGTTTCCCTCCTTGTATGTCACCTTGTCTCATTTTCCTGGCCTTTCTCTGGGTGCCCTTGATACCTCCAGTTCATTGTAAGAGGGAAAATCAATCCCATGAACAACAATGGAGGGCCAGGTCTGAAAAGACTGGAGGACAGATGCTGCTTAACTTCCAGTTCAGCAAACAAATTCAATTTTGTTAGATAAACCATCCCCAAGGATGTAGGGAATTAAGCCTCTTGTGATTCTTGTCCCATAATTCCAGAATGTGCTTCAATGGTTGAATGAAAAAAAAAAGTGATATCAATTGTTACAGAGCACACGCCATTTTAAGACTCCCTGGCCCTCTTGAGCAATACTAAATAAACCAAATTTTGGAAAGTCTAACAACACCTATTATGGTAAAATTGGGTAAGGTTTTTCTTTTACTTTAGACTTACTGTTACTAATCTCATAACCAATTAAAATCTCTAATATGTACCTCGGGGAAGGACATAAATGTTTCATGATGGCAGATGTCTCTGAGACAACTTGTCAAAGTGTATCATCCTGCAGAAGACATCATTAGCAATGTGATGGATCTCAAAGAGGGTTGGGCTCGAATCAGGAGGCCTGAATTGTAGCACTAACACTGGTGCTGGGTTACAGCATGACTCTGACAAGCCACATAATCTCTGAACCTCAGTTTCCTCATCTGTAAACTGAGGGGATCAGATTAAATAATTACTGAGTTCTCTTTCAGCCCTAAATTGCTTTGAGAAGGAAAGAGGGGAAGGAGGGTGAAAGTGAGAGAGGGAGGGAGGAAAGAAGGAAGGAAAGAAGGGAGGGAGTGAGGGAGGAAAAGAGGAAAGAAGTGAGGAAGGAAAGAAGTAAAGAAGGGAGGGAAGAAAGGAGAAAGGAAGGAAAGAAGAAAGGAAGGAATAAAGGAAAGAAGGAAGGAAGCATTTACTAAGCATGTGCTATGTGCGAGGTGCTATGCAAAGTGCTTTTCAAATATTCTTTCATTTGCTCTTCACAACCACCCTGGGAAGAAGGTGCTATTATTATCCCCATTTTACAGTTGTGGAAGCTGAGTCAGACAAAGGTTAAGTGACTTACTCAGGGTTACAAAGTTAAGAGGAAAATGTCTGAGGTCAAATCTGAACTCAATTCTTTCTGACTCTGGGCTCAGCACTCTATCCACTGCACCACCCAGCTGCTTAGGTTTCCTTACAGGCTACTATCAACCAACTACTGATACTGTGATCTTTACTTAATCCTGATTTCCAATACATAGAAAAAGTTTCCCCTAATCATTTCATCCCCAACTGAGAAATTAATTACACATTGAAGAAACTAGGGGCATATGTAGCAAACGTTTTCAAATTCACGCCACTAGGATCACCTATGTTTCAGGTAAATGGGTGAAGAGTTGTCTGGAATGAATTCCTGATGAAGTCTTAGGTCTGTCTCCAGTTGGTTCCTGGGGGAAAAAGAATTTGGGAGCAATATACACAATGTATACCATCAAAATACAATGAAAACAGTGAAGGGAGTTTAGAATAAATACAGATCTGTGATTGTTGGTGGGGGGAGCTCCTGGTGGGAGAAAGTTCTCCACCTATGGAGACTACAAGTTATCTATGACTTAGTAGATCCTTGTCTGAAGTCCACAAGCCTGGCACAAGCAGTAGTGATGGGAGACTTCAGTTATCCAAATAGCTGCTGGCACTCTATGCCAAAAGCAGAGCAGCTAATAAATTCTTGACTTGCCTTAATGATAACTTAATCCTTCCAAAGGTAATGAATCAAAAGGAAATTCTATACTGGATCAGATTCCAAGATGGAAATTGGTGAAAATGATGAGTATACTGGTTTTGTGACAGAGGAGAGGAAAAATGGGCATAGCTTGACATGCACCCTCAATTTGGGGAAAGCAGATTTCTAACTCTCAGACGAATGTAAACTGAATCTCCCCTTTTTAGATTAGAAGCTTTACTAAGCATAGAACCATCTTATCTCCTTATTGAGAATAAAAGCAATGTTGGGATAGCTACATGATTATGTCAAGAGTCTATGACTTTTGCTTTCCTGCAATGTAAATTAAATTAGTCCAACTTTTCATAGTGTAATAAAAAAAGGGGGGTATGAAAAACATAGACAGTGTGGATATTGACATGCAATGGGACAGAAAGCCCTGGACCTTCTCAAAAAACGATAATGCATTTTTGCATCCTAGACCCCTTCAGCAGTCTGGTGAAGCCTGTGGACCCCTCAGAATGATGTTTTAAATGAATAAGATAATGATACACAGGATTAAAAAAGAAGCCAACAATAGCAAAATATAACTGACAAAATATTTTTAAAAACAAGTTCATAGCTCCCAGGTTAAGAGGCCATGATCTATGGGCATCTCTTGGACAGGTGCTGAGGATGAAGAGTGAACCAAACCCAGGATTGAGGAGCAGGACATCTGCAACATCAGATTTAGAGCCAATTAATCCATTAACAAGGGCAAACTGTCTATGTTCTACCCTTAGGATCAAATCTTCACATTCTCAGCATGATCTGGGGAAATGTGCTTAACCCTATGCCAAAAGAGTAATAAAACTGTATATGCCCTTTGACCCGGCAATACCATTAGGTATGTTTCCCAAGTTCATCAGGGAAAAAAGAAAAGAACCTATATGTTCTAAAATGTTTATAGCAGCTCTGTCTGTGGTGGCAAAGAACTGGAAACTGAGGGGATGCCCAAAAACTGGGGAATGGCTGAATAAGTTGTGGTATTTGAATGTAATGGAATACTACTGTGCTGTAAGAAACGAACAGGTTGATTTTAGCAAAACATGGGAAGACCTATGTGAAATCATGAAGAGTGAAATGAGTAGAAGCAAGACAACATCCTACATCCTATACAGCAACAGCAATATTCTTTGAAGAGTAAATGTGAATGACTAAGCTATTCTGAGTTATACGAATATTCAAATCAACTACAAAGGACCTATAAAGGAAGACACTATCCACTTCCAGAGAAAGAACTGATAAATGGAAGTATGCAAAGTATGGTTTTATATATAATATGTATATGTGTGTGTCTGTATGTACCTATATCTATATATCTGTGTCAAATGGTGGCCTTCTCTAATTGGAGGTTGGAAGAGAGAGAAGTAGTTTGGAACTCAAATGTAACAAAAATAAAATAAAATAAATATTAAAAAATATAAATTAAAAAAAAACTTGCTTATTCTTCCTGGGCCTCAGTTTCTTCAACTGTAAAATGAGGAGGCTGGATTAGATGGCCTCTGAGTTCCCTTCCAGATCTACAATCCTGTAACTTTTGACTCCCACCGCCCCCGCCGCCACAACCACACTCATTGGTATGGAGGAAATAGATTGTAGGTTCATATATTTAGATTTGACACTCAGGGGCCACTGAGGTAAGCTCTCTTATGTTATGGATGAGGAAACTGAGATCCAGAGGAGATGAGGGATTTGCCGAAGGCCACACAGCTAGTGAGTAATTAAACTCAGGTCTTCCTGACTCCAAGTCAGGAAGCACTTTATCCACCACACCAGCTAGTTTGCCTAGGAAAACAGCAGCAGCTGCCATAAAAGGACCAAGAAGACTTCTGGAAGCCAGATTGAACTAGACAAATACTCTCTGTAGGTTTGCTTCCTTACTGGCCTGAATCTCTGACCTATTACAGTTACCCCAGTGCAGCTCCTCTAAGGCTCCTCATCCCAACTTCCCACCCTTCTAGATGAATCCCAGGTCCCAGAACCAGTCTACCTCCCCATCAGGGTTCTATGGGTACCATGGAGAGAGACGGAGGGTGATTCTACTGTCATTGGCTCGTGCCCTCGCTGGGGTTTTTTATACCAAGATTAGTAGTTGAGAGCCAATTTCATTAGACAGCCTACAGTATAGTAGCTTCTAGAAGGGTATATTTGCTAAGGTGGTACAACTAGAAAAGATGGTCCAAAAGAGTCCCCTTGAACATCTCTGACACCCTTTCCCATGACTATCTACAGAATTTGGGGGGAAAGTGGGCTCAAGCTTGGAGTGCACAGCTGGCAAAGGGGCTCCCGGATGCTAGACTCCCTTTTGCCCTCTCGTGGGATGCTCAAGAAGCATCCTTCAGCATGGGGTAGGTTTAGTGCTGGGCACCTTGTCCTTGATTCCCAATGCAGACAATGCCATCAACTGAACTGAGGACACTTCAAGGGCATGAGTGGGAAGATGGGAAGTCCAAAATCCTCTGAGTCCTGAAAGCTTGAGAAGCCTTCCTGCTGCTTAAGTGAGAATGTGCTGGAAATCCATGCTTGCTCCAAATTCTGGAATGGCTCCTTTCCCAATGGGCTTGATAATTTATAGGCAATCATCACAATCCCCTGTATTTCAAGTGCCCTGAAGACATACCCAACTAGACTGACTTCTCAGTTTATACCTGCTCTCGTAGGAGCATAAACCTAGAACTTGAAGGGACCTTAAAGGTATCTAGTCCAAACCTATCATGATTTTATAGATGGTGAAACTGTGGCCCAAAGAGGAATAGCAACTTACCCAAGGCCCCACAGAAGCACAGCCTGGATTGGAACCCAAGCCTTCTATCTCCAAATCCAATATTCTTTCCACTATAGCCCTCCTAAGTCAGACCTCAGCTCCTCTAACTCAAGTGGGGTGGACCTTTCCTCAACCAGGCTTTAGCCTCATTATCCAAACATGTCAGTCCTGCCGTTGTCTGGATGAGACACAAGTAGACATACAAGCACTACTTGGGACATAGTACTTGAGGCATCAGAAAAAAGAGAATGAAAACAGAAGAAAGTCTTCAACATCAAGGTGGATCCTTTATGGAAATACATGAATGAAGACCTGCATCACTAGGAAGAGCACCCACACCAAATGAAACCATAAAATAACCTGGCTGAGACATCTTTGTTCAAAAATCTGAGCAACTTAGAATTTTTTTTTCCAACCCAATTTGCCTTCTTTCTTGGAAGCTCACAAAAAAATAGATGAAACAGACTTTTTTTTTTTCCTACTTGCTTGGCAAAAACACTGCTTGTCCTGGATGAGTGGTTATTTATAAGGTACACTTAGCTAGCACTTCAGTAAGGTGGGATCTCAACTCTGAGATGTGTGCCACCTCTCCCACACAAACACACGCACATCCACTCATACCAACACACATCTCCAAACCGAAACCTTGGGGGAGAAGGGGACGAGGAGCCCAGGGGAACTATCTGGTACCTTATCTTAATCATAATAACGACTCTTTAAAGTTTTAACAAAGCTTGGTGCGGTACCCATCTACCATGGACAACAATGAAGGCAACGTGGTGCAAATGGCGCTAGAGTAAAAGGATTTAGGTCCAAATTCTGGATCTGCCACTTCTTACTGCCTAGGTGACCAGGGGCAAGTTATGTCACCTTCCAAGCCACAGTTTCCTCATAGGTAAATTGGGGGGAGGGGTTGGATTGTTGTCAAGTCATTTCAGTCTTGACCGATTCTTTGTGACCCCATTTTGGGGTTTTCTTGGCAAAGATATTGGAGTGGTTTGCCATTTCCTTCTCCAGCTCATTTTACAGATGAGGAAACTAAGGCAAAGAGGGTTAAGTGACTTGCCCAGGGTCACACAGCTAGGAAGTATCTGAGGCCACATTTGAACTCAGGAAGATGAGTCTTCCACTTGCCATCTGGCTACCTAGATATCATTAGATACCTTTTCATCTCTAAATCTATGATTCTATGATCTATTTGAAAGGAATAGAGAATTGGGCAAATATCCCAGGGGTGGGGAACCTGCGGCCTTGAGGTCACATGTGGCCCTCTAGGTCCCTCAAGTGCAGCCCTTTGACTTTTGATTCAGATAAACGGCCACACTTGAGGACTTAGAGGGCCTCGAGACTGCAGGCTCCTCACCTCTGGTAGACAACTATAAGTAGTAGCTCAATAACTATAATTCTACTCAAACCTTTACCTGCAGAGGATTAGAGTTAGAACAGCCGTTATAGGCCAAGGAGTACAACCTCACAAGTGAGGCCTTGAGACTTGAAGTGACTTGTCTACTACAGCCACAAGGGTGGTAAGTAGCAGGCAGGATTCACACCCAAGTCCTCTGACTCCAAATCTAGTGTGCTTTCCATAGACTTTTCCTAATGTATCAAGCAGAAAAGCAAGGTTTCTTTTTTTTCTGTTGAGAAAAGGGAACATTAGATTAGGAGTCAAGGAACTTGGGTTCGAATCCTGCCTGCTACTTACTACTAATGTGGCCTTGAGCAAGTTATAATTAAAGCTTAAAACTGCACTAGGACTTTTGGGACACCCCTAGGATTTAATACTTAAGATCCAAGTTTTCAGGGACCTAACATGATCCTTTGGAAACTGGTCCTGATTTTCTTCTAACTACAGTTGCTGATGCCAACCAGGTTAAAGCTGAATTGGAAGGAGCATTGCCTTAAATTTATTTTCAAACAGTGTCAAGTCTTAAGCATTCCAAGTCCAATGGACCTTTGGGAAATGAGGTTGTGGCTGTTTTTATTCTCATTTATCCTCTTCGAGGTATAAAAAAACCACTGTGATTTTTTTCTAGTTTATGTAGAACTTGCCTCTTACCTCTTTCTCTGTTATAAGAGCTGAGCTGTTGAAATCTGATAATAGGCTATACTCACTGTTCCTACCTTTCCTTTCCCATCCCCCTCCTGATCCTCAGCCAAATACACACACACACACACACACATATATATATCTACATACATACATACATACATATATATATATATATATCTACATGTATATTATATAGTCTGGGTGATTCCCCATTAGAGATGAACATAACAGACCTAATGTCCTTTATCTGGCAAAGTCAGATGCAAACTTTAACGTCCACAAAAGAAAACCAGAGGTGTGTGTTTATGATTTACGATACTATACTATGAAACTACCACTTTTAGGATACGACCTTTTCTGGGTGGGGATGCCAAGAATTAGTATCTAGACTAGATCTTCAAAAGCCCTTTGTATGATTTGAAACTCGTGGTTAAGTTTCATGGATTTGCCCATGAAACTGCCCATTTAATGACCTCAAGCTTCTTTTTGAAACAAAGGTCCCTCTTATCACCATGGCTCTTCCAGGTAATGCTGCCCGGGACTGAAGTCAGGGATCACCCCACAGGCAATGAAGATGCTTGAGCTGAGCTCAAGAAGGCTGCAAAGTTGCAAATAAGGGATTATGTGGCATGACCAGAAAAAAAAGGGATGGTCACATACCAAGAGCAAGGTCTAAGCAATGGACATCCCATGTTTTCCACTGGCATTCATCAACAGAATGTCAAGAGAATATAAGAAAGTTTCCTAAAACGATGAAGACTTCTTTGTGTCAGATGTGTAGGCAAACACAAACAAAAGTCGTTCAGGATACGCAGACCTGGATGAGCTGCGATCTGCACCATTAGAGAGTACCGCTGTCAATGAGATACCAGATTCTTTAGAGTAGGGGTTAACATTCTCAGGGACCCCTCTGGCTGTCTGGTAAAGCTTAACAGACCCCTCCTCAGGGCATTTTAGATGCATAAAACATATGCTACTACAAAGGAAATCAATTATATTGAAATGTTGCTATCATAAAATTTTAAAAAGCCCCCAGCTTGAATATCCTTTCATTAGAATGCTGGAGAACCAGCCAGTAGGCAGCTATAAACATGGGAGTCACAACATTCAGAGCTGCTCTGGTAGCCCAAGAAAAAGCGTTATGTTTTAAACATTACAAAGATACAAAAGGATAAATGCCAGACACCAGTGGAGGGCTTATAATGTTATTACATGCTAGGCTGTGAACCTGAGGGGCAGCACGGATGGTGGGGTTGCCCTGTGGTAGGGTGGGTGTAAGAATGTCGGGCACGGTGCAAGAAGAAATTCATTCAACTCCTGGTTCTGACACTTGCTGCATGTGCGGCCACAGACAAGTCATTTATCTTTTCTGTTTGCAAAAGCAAAGCACTTTACAAATATCTGATTTTATCCACACAATCACCTTAGGAAGTAGGTGCTACGATTATCCCCATTTTACAGATGAGGAAGTTGGGGCGGGCAGCGGTTAAGTGACGTTTTGTACCTCGGTATCCTCAATCTGTAAAAACATCACCCTCCCACAAAGTGTTTTGCAAATCCCGAAGCACTCCGAAGCACTATAGGAATGTTAGTTATTAATTATCAAATGAAGGGCAGGTTTTGGAATGGTTCTAATTCCCCACTGATGACATTCTAGGGAAGCTTTAAGGAATATAGGAGACGATAAGTGTTGCTTTAAGTGCATCCCTTGGAAAACCATTTGCACGAATGTCTTACCCACTGCTGGAACCCACAACAGCACGCACTTGGAGTGCAAGACTCAGCACGTGTGCGCCGACACCTGCCATGAGGTCTGCTGCTTTCTTCCAGCTTCTCTCAGCTTCCTGGGCACAAACCCAGGCTGCGCTGCCCACAACCTAACTCCTTCTTCCAGACGCGGCTGTGGGTACTTACTTTAGGTCTCTCTTCTTTTCCCCCCACCTCCATTCTCACCCATGCTCGTGTCCGGAGAGGTGGGCTGCCTCGCGCTCCCTTTCGCCCGCCCGAGCCTCTTCCCGCCCTGCTCCAGTGGGCCAAGAACCAGAGAATCCACTCCAGCAGCAGAGGCGCGCTCCCCGAGCCGGCCCCGCCTCCTCCCTTCCCCGGTCACGTTGGCTGCAGAGCGCATCCAGGCTGCGGGGGCCTTCCAGAGGGAGGAGACGGGGGTAGCTGAGGGGAGAGGGGTCACGTGAGAGTAGGAGTCTGACCTACTTCTTCCCCCCCCCCAGCAGCTGGCGCATGCGCAGAGGGCAACCTCTGTTCTCTCCGCCCCTTGCCCGGGAGATTCACATGGAAATACATGTGCCCCCCTCCCCACCCCCTTCTTCCTCGGGCCAGGGAAGGCTTGCACTGGGAGGCATAGGGCGCAGCTGGAGGATTCAGCCTGTTCGATACCTTCAAAGTTAGATCTGATAGCAGAACCAGTCTATGCAGCGTCCCCACTTCCGAACTTGCAAGCTTTTGCAAGCTTGTCTTTGCACCCCTCAGGGCTTTGCAGATCCTATTTCGCTCAAGGGGTGAGGGAGTTGTTACAATTTCTGCCACATTTTTCCCGGTTCTGCCCTTGCTTCTCACGCTTCCTGATAAATTCTCTCCAATGATGTATTTTTACCCCAAGGAGTAAGACATCATCACTTCGCTTTTCAGCACAGTTGTTAATCTCTGTGTTAGACTTGTAACTGAATTAGCTTCTACTTATTACCTGTGTCAATTCAGCCAAGTCTCTTCACCCACCTGGGCCTTAGTTTCATCACCTGGAAAATGAGGAAGCAATTACTAAGCACGTCTGCGCGCTGGGCACTGTGCTGTGGGCTGAGATTACAAGTCTTTGTAATAGTTGCTGCCTTCAAGGAGCTTAAAGAAATTAACTTTAAGTACATAATATGGTCTCGTATATAAGTATATAGGTATGTGTGTGTGTATACATACATACATACATATATATATATTTCATTGGTATAGGTAACTATGGAGAGGAAACTCTAGCTATCGAACTGAGAGGTTGGGACTTGCCCATATATATTCTGGCTTAGTCAACTGGGGACTCCTATGGAGAGCTAAGTCAGGAATTCCTGGCTGGGACTACTGCCTCTGACACAAGTTGGCCGTGGTACCCTGGGCAAGTCACTTAATCTCTCAGTGTTTTAAGCAACTCTCTGTGACTAAATTGTTGAGAGGATGCTGTTCTGCATTGGTAAAGAAATTCCTCCGGGGAAGTCTCTACACAAAGCATGTTCAAGAAAAAAAAAATAGAGAGACTAGACTTGCCTCTAAATCTCTTCTCCTGAGTCTACGAAGGAAATGTAGGAGTGGAAAAGAAGGTGGATGTAGGAATGAATTATCATAGATTTAGGGTTTGAAGGGAACTTAGAGGCCACTAAGTCCAATCTCCTTTTATTTTGTTTTTTTTTTGTTTGTTTTTTTAGGCAATTGGGATTATATTTTGTTTTGTTTTGTTTTTGTTTTTTTAGGCAATTGGGATTAAGTGACTTGCCCAGGGTCACACAGCTAGTAAGTGTCAAGTGTTTGGTCTGAGGATGGATTTGAACTCTATTCCTCCTGGCTTCAGGGCCAGTGCTCTATCCACTGCGCCACCTAGCTCCCCCCCACCCCAGTCTCCTTTTATAGATAAGGAAATTGAGGTATAAAGACTTACACAGCTAGCATTTTTTTTTTTTAGCTTTTTGGTGAAGCAATGGGGTTAAGTGACTTGCCCAGGGTCACACAGCTAGCAAGCATCAAGTGTCTGAGACAGAATTTGAACTCAGGTCCTCCTGACTCCAAGGCCGGAGCTCTATCCACTGCATCACCTAGCTGTCCCACACAGCTAGTATTTCTAAGGCAGGATTTAAATTCAGGTCTTCCTGATCTCAAGTCCTGCCGTCTATGCACCATGCTACCTAACTGCCATGTCTAATGTTTATGCAGTGTCAAAAGATCTAGAGAAAGACCTTCAACCGTGGGGGCTGAAGCAATATGCGGGACAAAACTCCCACAGCAGGAGGAGACTAGAACAGATTGCGATCTCCACCACTGGAGGGAGCTTTTGACCCCTGCCTCCCCTGTGAGGAATGACCTGTCTAGGTTCTGCTTCTTACACAAAGATATTCAAAACAAGAAGCCAGTCTTTTCCCCATGCCAAAGGATTTGTTCTGTGAAGTTTGGATTCAAAGGACCATACTTGAGGACCTAGAGGCCACATGTGGCCTCGAGGCCGCACATTCCCCACCCCTGCACCTAGGTCAATAAGAGAATGAATATAACAGCAAATCCATTTCCACTACTGGAAAAACTTACTTTGTTGTTCAGTCATCTTTCAGTCATGTCCAGCTCCTCGTGACCCCATTTGGGGTTTTCTTGGCAGAGACACTGGAGTGGTTGGCCGTTTCCTTCTCCAGCTCATTTTATAGATGAGGAAACTGAGGCAAACACAGTTATGTGACTTGCCTGAGGTCACACAGCTAGTAAGTGTCGGAGGTCACATTTGAACTCAGGAAACAAGTCTTCCCGACTGGAGAGGGGGCTCACTGCACTATGGCACCACCTAGCTGCCACTGAAAAAAGCTTAAGACATGTTGTAATGCTGGTAGACTAGTAGTGCTATGTATGTGTTGTTCACTATGTTTTTAACACTATTAACACACTTTTAATGCTATGAATGTGCCATTCATTTGGGTTTAGAGTCCTAGAATCTTGATTGTTTCCCATTTTATCAATGACTTGGATAAAATATCACAATGCATTTTTATCAAATTTGCAGATGACATAAAATCTCTGCTTCCTGGTACCCCTGGCTTCCTCAAAGTCTTGCCTCATGCAAGAAACCTTTCTCAGTCTGCCTGCACAGTAGCGGCTTCTGATGGTTATTTCCAATTTGTCCTACATACATCTTGTTTCTACACGTTGTTTGTATATTGTCTCCCATATTAGACCAGGCTCCTTGACAACAAGGACTATCTCTCAACTTTCTTTGCATCTTCCTCTCTTAGTGCAGTGACCAGCGCATAATTGGAGCTTAATAAATGCTTTTTTGCTTGACTTGGGAGGAGTAGCTAACACACTAGAAGACAGTCAAGATCCCAAAAGACCTTGACAGGCCGTTGTGTTGGGCTGAATCAAATAAGATGAGATGTAATTGGGACAGATATAAAGTCTTATGCTTCGTTTCAATTTCACAATAACAGAATGATTAGACAGCAGTTTGTGTGAAAAAGATTTAGAGGTTTTCATGACTTGATACAAGTTCATTATGAGTTAGCAGGATGATGCGGTACCCCAAGGCTAATTTGATCTTGGACCACATTACAGTAAGCAAAACCTCCGGGAATTAGAAGGGGATGGTTCCCCTGTAAGCTGCCCTAGTCAGAACACTCCTGGAATACAGTACTGAGGTCGACTCAACACAATATAGCAGGTATGCTAATAAACTGGAGACCACCCAAAAAGGATAGCCAGGATGGTAAAGGGTATGCAAAATTTACGTAGGGAAGGAAGGAGAGGCTGATAGGAGAAGGTAACTGAATGAGCAAAGGCATGAAGCCAGGAATAATCATAGTGCATTCTGGAGGTGGTGAAGAGGGTGGACATTGGGGATCAGATGAAGATAAAATTGAATAGGTAAATTTGGGCTAGATTGTGGAGGACCGTGAATGCCAATTTGGGGAGTTTGTGTTCGAACAAAGTGCTTGGCACATAGCCAGCACTTAATAAATTCACTAATACTTTCATCCTATACCTCCTTACCTCAATAAATTTTTTTCATTCATTCATCCATTCACTCATTCATTTTTTTTCATTCATTCATTCAACCTATAGGCAATGTAGGGTCAAGACCATGTACATAATCACTCATCTGTCATCATATAATCATCATCATCATCATCATCAAAATCTTAGCTAATACTTATATAGCACTTTGAGCCTTGTAGAGCACTTTTCATACATTATTTTATTTGATCCTCACAATTCTGTAAGGTTGGAACTATCATTATCCTGATTTTACAACTGGGGAAACTGAGACAGAGAGCTTGTTAAGTGACTTGCCCAGAGTCATATAGCTAGTAAGTATTTGAGGTAGGGATGTCTATGATACAGTTTCACAGAGAGGTCATTTCACTTGAAAATATCTTGTTTTTATAGATATCTTTTGTTTTTAATATCATCTTTACCATTTAATATCATTTTATCATTTAATATCATCCCTCCCCCTCCTCTACCCAGCAAATCATCTCTTATAATAAAAGTTTGAGAAAGAAAGAGGGGAAAAAAGCAGTTTGGCAAAACCAATTAACTCTGTATGACAGTATGTATAATATTTCACACCATTCATCTTTCACCTCTGCAAAGAGGGGAGGAAGGCTATGTATTATTTCTACCATTATTCACTAGGTGTCTGTTGGGTTTTCCCCTTAGAGTGTTGCTGGGAATTAGCCTCCTGATGATCATATCAGGAAGCTTAGGGAAATGCTCATCTTCATGGGCAATTCTCTGTCAATCATTTCCATTACTAAGTTCATTAGCAACATAAGAAATTTAACAGGTCTGAGGGCAAGATAAATGGAAAAGGTTTCTCATTCCTTTTTCTCTCTATTGATAGAAATATAAGTAGATGAAAATCTCATTAAACCACAGCTCATTATTATTCTGCTCCTCATATACAGCATTTAAAATCATATCTCCCCCAAATTCAACAACTATATGTACCTTCTCCAAAGACACATTGAGTGTAAGCTATTGGAGGGCTTTTGTCTGTTTTTAAATGTTTTGGTTTCGTCTTTGCATCATCAGCTCCTAGCACAGTACCTGGCCCATACGGTAATCAATGCATAATAAATAGTTATTGATTGATGTAGGTCCATTGATTGTGAACCCCAAACTTGCAACCGAAATATGAGCCCTATAAGTCCACAGCAATGGAGTAATGATGCTTGTGGATCTGAATGACTGCT